TGGCCTCCTGAACTGAGCTCACAGGGCACGACTGACCCATCTCAGCATCACTGCAACCAGCACAGGCCCAGCTTCGAAGCATGTGCTAAAGTCATGAATGAGTAAACAACCCAATAAACCCCAATTCCCTTGTACAGCTACGAAATCAGGCCCAGAGAGGTTCAGTGACTGCCCTGAAGTCACACAGAGCCGAACACCCACACTGGCATCTTCTTCAGATGGACTGTTTTTAGAGGACGCACTGGAGTGAATGACGGGCCGCTGACAGGGTGGGCTCAGTAGGCAGTGCTCTGGGCCCCCACCTTCAAGCACAGCAGCCCCACTTTCCTGGTTTAAAGTGCTTAAAGCAGTGTCCAGAACATGGAAGGTACTCATAAAGATTTACATGGGCAGTGCACAAGCCCTCCATCCGGCCAATGAGGGGCTGGACAGTGCAGGCTGACGGGCATTGAAGACACACGATTCTACCCCATCCCCAGGGCAGCCTCAGCAGGGCCCTTCAAAGAGCCCTGAGAAACTGATGAAAATCCCACCCCTCATCCCCAGGAAAATGCACACAGGCTCATAAAACAGTTCTGACTACAGTTTCAGGGGGTGGACCCCCCGGGCCAGCAGTAACAGCAGCAGTCGGTGCTGAGCACTTACTACATACCCAGTGCTGTGCTTGGTACTGCAGAAGTGTCACTGCATTTAAGACCCATGACTGTCCCTGGAGGAAAGGACAGTTTCTGTTTCCTAAATAACAAAACTGAGCCTCGGCAGGGCAGAGAGGGTGGCCCAAGTTTATCAGATAACAGGAGGCAGAAGTGGGACTTAGTCCAGGGTGTTTGCCTTCAAAGCTGGGGCTCCTAACCTCACAGTGTCTGGTGCAGCCGCCTGCCCCACCAGCATCACCACCTGCCCTCCTCCAATCCACCCCCACATCTCACCCTGTCAGGTTCTTATCTTACTCTCACTTCCGCCACTTCCTGTCACTTCCCACCACCCGGGTCAGGCAGAATGAGGAAACTCAGCTATTGAGACACACAGTGGGCAGGGCACATCGGAGGAGACCAGCAAACAGAGCACAGATGCCTGCAGGGAGCCCCCAGAGGGGAGTCAGGGTTTGAATCCAGATCCATTGGATTCCCAAAGTGGACCTGGCAAGACCCCGTGGTGTGGTGGCCTGCCTGTCCCCTGTGTGACCCTCCACGTGTCTCACCCTTGGTCTAGACCCCACTTGGGGCCTCGGAACACTTTACTGGAAGCTGCTGTGGAAGAGCAAGGGGACGGATGGAGGGGACAGGAGGGGGCAGGGCACCCATAAATAGTTTGCTTTCTAAGGAAGAAGCCTCCTCCCACCCCACCCAGACTCTCGCTTCCCTCTCTCCTCCACCTCTGCCTTCCCCACTCAGTTGCCCACAGCTCCTCCCTCACCCCCAGAGCTGCTGCCACTCCTTTCACAAACAGTCAACGCCTCCTCCCTTGCTCTTTCAGACAATGACTACTGACTGAGCACCAGCTGTGTACCCTTGAGAACCCGGCCGGTTGTGGCCAGGTGGGCAGACGTGCAAGTGTGCAAGAAGCAGAGAGCCAGGAAGACTTCCCAGAGGAGGAAGAGTCTTTTAGGACGAAAACTGAAGAGCTGATCAGATCAAGTACCGCCCATTGCCGGAGGGCAGAGGCGGGGTGGAGGGACAGAAGGAAGGCCCCGTAGATGGGCATCAAGGCGGAGGAGTGGGAGGGCAAACGGAGAGGAGGGCTGACCTGGCGCTTCAAAATTAAACAACAGCTCGGCATCTTGAGCGCCCCAACGCCGCGACCCAGCACAGTCACCCTTAAGAAATGCGCACCGGGGTTCCATCCCAGCTTGGCTAAGTTTCACCGGCCTGAGTGTTTGAGCTCATTTACTTCCAATCACCACCCTGCGGAGCAATCAGCAATCCCCCATTCCGCGGACGCAAAAGCCGTGGCCCGGAGAAGTCGGAGTGTGGCACCAAATCACAGTTTGGGCAGTGGCTGTGTCGGGATTTGAACCCGGGGTGCAGCTTTTCGGGTTCCTAACGCCCTGGCAGGGAGAGCCGGTCCGTGGCCGCGCCGCGGGTCGGAGGGGGCTCAGCCCTCCACTCACCCTGGAAATAGACCCCGGAGCAGACCTGCAGCACACGCGGGAGTGAGGCGGGGTCCAGGGAGCACACGAAGTCCTGCAGCGACACGGGCTCCATGCTCCGAGCGGCTCGCTGGACGCGGATTGAGTGGCTCGCCCGCAGCAGAGCCCGGCAGCCCCGCCTCGGTCGTCCTCGCGGGGCGGGGTTGGGCGGAGTGGCTCCGCCCAAGGGCTTGCGGGACGCGACCCCGTGCTCTCAGAGAAGCGGTATCCTTCTCCCGGCCTCAGTTCCCTCATCTCTACAAGAGGGTTGCATGACCCACCTCTCACATGGATGGCACGACTTAGAAGGTCTAGATCAGGACCTGATACCCTGAAGGTCCTGAGTAAATATAAGCTGGTCCCCACGTGCCCAGTCATCAGTGATGTACCGCATCGTGGAGGGCGGGCGAGGATGAAGATGAAGGAAAAACCCCCAACTCCCTCCCTAGTTCTCCCTTCCTCTCTGTTCTACCGAGGAAACGCGGTCCGCCTGGTGTAGGTCCGAGTCTCACTGGAGAGACACAGCCTTGCCGTTTAGGTCTGAGGGGGAAGATAAAGTATCTGGTCTCCTGAATCCCTCTCTAGGACACTCCGCGGTTCTCTACTGATGGGGAACTCACTACCTTTCCAGGACGCTCATACCCTCTGGACAATCCTACTTAAAAATTCTTCCTTGGAGCAACCTGAATGTCCATCCACAGATGATTAGATAAAGATGTGGGGTGTGTGTGTGTGTGTGTGTGTGTGTACATACATATACATACACACACATACACATACATATATATACACACACAATGGAATTCTCCTCAGCCATAAAAAAGAAGGAAATAATGCCATTAGCAGCAACATGGATGGACCTG